ATTAACCATGTTTGCTGTTCATATGTCTTGTAATTGGGATGAAGTAAACATCTGTTGAGTAATTTAACATAAAATTGTTTGATAGTGTTAATTTGGAAAGCCAAAACTCTAGCGGGTCCACCAGACCCATGAACACTGGCTGAGTAACAAAAATACGAACACCACATAAGGGTTAAATGGTTCACTAATTTTAACTGGAAAATGATCTTCAATTACAACATTATTATTATTATTATTTATATGCAGAGGAATCATGAAGGAACAGAGACTCTTCCTTCTCTTTTTCATTATTATCACAAAAAAAGAAGAACACAAAGGGAAAGTAAAGTAAGAATGCACTAAAAGAAAGTGAACATTTTAAAACTTAAACAAAGATGCTGATGGTTTAATTCCCCAAAATTATGAGGAAGAAACACCTGAAAGGTTTGTTGTTCAATCCCTGGTTGCTGAAGTGTTCATGCCAAGGTATCCTTAAGCAAGATAGGGCTTTGGAGTTGACGTCACGCCGCAGTGCATTGTGGGATCGCGGCGCCATGCCAGTAGGCCAGAAAGCAAAACAAGCACACAGTGTTAGAGTGTTGGAATCGGGACTGCCAGAACCATGCTCAAAATCAGCGCAAAAGACAAAGGGCTGTATCGCGACCGATTGCACCCAGACGCCAAGAGACGTACTTTGAAAAAATTGCATGCATCGGTAATGTGGACCCGTATGAAATAAGGAAGTGGAGTGGAAACCCAGATGACCTACCGCCTTTGTCCTATCCCGATATCTTTGCATACCTTGTCTGTGGAGTCAGCGCATACACAGCAAACCAGTTTAAGAATTATACATCCCTGGAGGCCCACATCCAATTCACAAATGGCTGGGTGCAAGATTTGTCCATCTTTAAGCCTCCACGCTGCGAGTACGTTGTCGTTAAGACATAGGTAAGTCGGTTTGAACTTGATAACTTTCTAAACAACTTCCTTGTTACAGTTTTTGATTTGCACGTGCAACGTGCTGCTCTAAATAGCCTGTAATGTTTCATTTTGTGGTTCAAGATTGATGCCAGCTGTGTGTTGCCATGTAAATAGTTTGCATTTCATTTTTATGTACTTGCTAAGTACATGTGAACAGATCAAGAATAAAAAA